ACAGAGTCTGGCTTCAGTTTGGCAGCACAGGAGGAAAGAACAGAGCTTCTACTCTTGGAAATATGGGACAATTGTAATGGGACAGGGGCATTTTATATAAATCTGGGACTGTCCCTTAAAATTTGGGATGCCTGGCCACACTGGATCCAGCATCCAGCATGCTGGATCAGCTTTGAAATATGGGTCAGTTTAGATGTGTGCCGAGCCTTCTGGCCCATTACTGGTTACCAATCTCTGCTCCAGAAAACTCCAAAACGTTTATTTCTCTTTATGGAGAAAAATATTGTTAAAATTATTTCTATTGATTTTTTTCTATTTGCAGGGACAAAAAAATATATATGTCCAAAGATTTGAACGCCATGGTTTTCTGGTTTGCCACTTATCTTCCTAATAAACTCAATGCCTTGCTTAAAATTCCCGAGAAAGCCCATAACAGAAATGTTATTTCACTACCTTACTTGCACTGTGTGCCCTCAAATATTTTGCAATGATGATTTACAAGTTTTTATACAAAAGTTACTGTTGCCCTTGTAATTATCTTGTGCATTTTTTCATTACAGTTTTTGTGATATATATAATGCCTCTTTGAAAACCGCTTCCTGGTTGATACAAGGAGGTTTTACTGTGAGTTCTCTTGGATGGACTGCTCACAGATCGCAGTTGAGTTATAGTTTTTAAGCTAGAGGAATGATAAACGTAATTATTAATAATTTTAATTTTTTTACATGAACTGCAGCATTTGCTTCATAACATTTCCCCTATGTTCACTATTTTTATTTCTGTTATACGTATGGTAGCTGACTGGAAATCATAGAATCAGAGATTCATAGAATCAAAGAGTTGGAAGAGACCTCATGGGCCATCCAGTCCAACCCCCTGCCAAGAAGCAGGAATATTGCATTCAAATCACCCCTGACAGATGGCCATCCAGCCTCTGTTTAAAAGCTTCCAAAGAAGGAGCCTCCACCACACTCCGGGGCAGAGAGTTCCACTGCTGAATGGCTCTCACAGTCAGGAAGTTCTTCCTCATGTTCAGATGGAATACATGTTATCTCATCATGTAATAATAATAATAATAAATAAACTTTATTTATACCCTGCCACCATCTCCCCAATGGGGACTCGGAGCGGCTTACATGGGGCCAAGCCCAAATAACAAACTACAATATAACAGTATAAATTGCAATAAAAAAACAACATAACATTAAAATGTAAAACATCAAAACATATAAAGCAATATACACAGAACATAGGAACCAAACATAATGACAGAGAGCGGGCTGCATGTACATAAAATGATTTTAACACTCCGGGTGAGATAAGGTGGCAGAACTAATTGTAAGGGAGAACTCATAGAGAGATAGGAAAATAAACAAACCTTCATACCTTGGGGGGACGGGAACTTCTGGGAGAAGAATGTTGAGGGAGCACTAGCATAAGATTATGTGGCTACTCTCCGAAAGCACAACGGCAGAGCCGGGTCTTAAGACTCTTTTTAAAGGTTTCTAACGTAGGGGCTTTCCTAATCTCTCCGGGTAATGAATTCCAGAGTCGGGGGGCCACAGAGGAGAAGGCTCTCTCCCTTGTACCCACAAGGTGAGTCTGAGAGACTGGCAAGGGCGAAAGGAGGGCCTCGCCCGAAGATCGAAGGGTACGGGCTGGTTCATGGAGAGAGATACATTCACGAAGGTAGGCGGGTCCCAAAACATGTTATCTCATCATGTAGTTAACATATACAATTTTATCATGCTATTATTACATCCATGATCAAGTTTAAAGACAACTTACATTCACTATGGATTCCTTAGTTTGAGCCATGTCAGAAATGACACCATCTGTAATAATGAGAAGCACAAAATACTGGGAGCCATCTTTTACCGAGGCAGCATATCTAAAACGGATGAAACACAACAGAGCACACAATCATATTTGAATGTCAAACACATAAAACCTTTAAAAGCTTTTAAATCCACACTGACTAAAACAGGCTTAAAAATCCCAGTTTTCAGCAAGCAAGAAACAGGGAAGTAATTGTGACATCATCTGACATTCATATGCACAAGTTCGTTATACAGCTAGTCTATGAATAACTAAAGGCACGATGACATAATAAAGTATAGTGACAGGGCAGATTATTTATAACACAGAATGTATAAGCAATCTAGGATTTTTTGTTAAGGGCTGCAAGAAAAATATGTGGAATATTACAGTGTTACACTATGGGATATTTAAAATTAGGAAGTTATTGTTGTTATTGTTGTGACCTTTCAAGTTATTTCCAACCTAAAGCCCCCCATTTGGTATTGTTGAGTTACTGCTATTAGGTCAAATCAAGTTCATTCAAAGTTGCTTCCAAGCCTACCTATATCATCAAAGCAATTCAATCAAAGGTCAGTCCCATGAATTTTTTAAAAAGGATAAAATTTCTTGTGTGTTGTGCAAGCATGCCATTCTTTCCTCTGTCACTCTTTTGTGTATTTGTGCTAAAAGGCAAATGGGGGTCCTCTTATATGTAGTGGGAACATAGGTAATATATTTTCCTTTTTTAAAAACCCACATGCACATGCACTTCACAATTACAAAGGCCTATTTTCTTTCACATTACAGAATTATAGCTCTTTGTCACCATTTTAAAGTTACATACTACAAAATCCTTGAAACTGTCAACTGAAGAGACACTGGAATTCTCTAGAAAGGAATTCTAAATCCATGTGGGACTAAAAGCGGTCCCAACGCATTATAATAATGTAGAGTTGTTCCTCCATAATGATGAATTCTGCATCTATGGATTCAGCCATTCTCAACTTGAAATAATTTCAAAAAGGAAACCATCTTGCCATTTAAAAAAAGGAACGCGATTTTACTACAATACTGTATATAATGGGAGGGTCCTAGAATAAAAATTCAGCCGATACTGAGAGCCCACTGTAATGTGAAAGAGATTGGTGTCTGCTGCAACACTTGCTTCCTATTGGTGGATCATGGGAAGATGGTTATTAAACAAAAACAAAAACCAAGGAGACCGCACAAACTTCAAGTCTGTCCATATCCATATTAAATACTCTTTACTAGATGATCTAGTGGTGGCATCATATCTGTTGGGGGACATGAGAGAAGTGTCCCTTGGGCAACGTCTTTGTAGATGGCTGATTCTCTCACACCAGAAGCGACCATATCTGTTATCTTTTTCAAGGATTAAATCCAAATGATATTCCCTACAAGTGAAGGCTTTTTGAATCTATTGCTAAATGGTAAATTGACATAAAACCACCTGTTGGGTCTAGCAATTGGATATAGGTCTACTTTCTAAATTCTGATGAGTAGGAAAGTGACTACAAGTCGTTGTATAAAAGAAGGATGCTACTTTTCCAAAACAATAGCCCACTACTAAAATATGTAACTGTTTACATCAACAGTGATTAGAAGTAAAGTCTTAAATACAACTGTACAATACAATCTAATTGTACTAAATTCCCTTAGAATTGCTCTCATAAGCATTACCTTGCTACATGGTTGATAACAGGAGCAAAGTTTGTAGGTCCATAAAGCTGTACTGATTTTAAACTCATGTAGTATGCTTCCATTACACCATCTATTCCATTGCAATAAGGATTCTGAGGATTTCCATTCTATAAATAAAAGCAGGTATAGAAAAATCAGTTGAATACTGCTTAAGAAATGCTATGTGTCACATTATATCACAGTACGAGGTGGGCGGGCACAACCCTGTCTGTCAGACTGGCATCTCTCTGCACCTTCCAACTTGAAAATGTTTTTAAACTTACTTAAAAAAAAATTGACTGAAAATGTTCCACTTCTGTGAGTCACAGAAACCACAAAGAAACAGACAGATATATAGATGAATAGACAGATAAGTTAAGATCTTAAATTTGGACAGTTTATCAAATAAAATATGAAGATTTAAAGCTTTCATTTCTGTATTTCTGATTATTCTGATTCAAATATAAAAATACAATTTGCTGTGGGTGCTGTGGTTTTT